TCCCAGACACCTTTGGGGGCTCTTTTTATGTGATTATATAGCTTATTATATACAGCTTATGCAAGTGACTTTAGGCAAACAAAACTATACATGGCCAGGAAGCCGCAGGTGGGGACTATGAAGCTATTCACCCTGCATCAGCCACCCGGCCACCCAAGTCCAAGGGCCCTTGCACCTGCCAAGGAATGCCCAGCGGGGTCACAGGAGTGATCTGAAGGACCCAACAGCCATCTTTACTCTTGGAGCTGCCAAAGCCTTCTGGGTTCTCGAGATGGAAGTAGATCAGGGGAGCAACTCCACCACAGACAGGAAGGGGGCTGCAAAGAGCAGGAGTCCAACAGCCCAGAGATGCTCAGCCCCACAGCTTTTCCTTGGAGTGCCACTCCTAGCCTGCCTTCCTGCCAAGGAGGTGGGGCACTGGTTCTCACCCAATTACAGCCTCGCAACAACCTGCCCAGGTAGTCTGGCCAAGATGCTCTAAAACTTGAGATGTCCTGGCCAGCCCCGTAAATTTTGATGTAATTCACACAACACTACTCTCTCAGTAGGATCTAACACCCACATTCAGATGTCCTAAGAATAGAAAAGAAAAAATAGAATTCTTTATTGGCCAAGTGTGATTGGAATTTTTCTTTGGGGCATATGCTGTCAGTGTAAATAATAAATTACATTCATCTAGTACATTAAAAATACATTCATCAAGAGTCATAAGATACAACCTTTAGTGATAGTCATAGGATACTAAATAATCAAGCATATCATGCTAGGAAACAAAACAGTATAAATCATGAACATATAGGTGTGGCAGTATTGAGAAGAACTGGATTTCTGGGGCTTTGCCTGTTGTCCAAGTCCAGCCTTCACAATTCTTGCACAATACATTGGGTGTAGTTTGATTTATGACTAACCTAAATAAAACAAAATGGCATGGACAGAATTACCGCATGTAGCCTTTGTTGATTTTAAATCCTCATTTGATTCCATTTCAAGAGAAACAATTATGAGGAACTTGGAAAATACAGTACAAATAGTTTTTCTCATTCAGCAATTGTACGAAATGTGCTAACCATCCTCTTCAGTAAAGTCTTACAGGGCTGTATTTTGACCTCCACCTTCTTTTAAGGAGCACCTCCAATCCTCCATAGGTCAACTGATCATCTCCTACTTATACCTGGGCCCAGATGTGGTCCTCCCATATGCTGAGAATATGGCTGGTTATCTCCCAAAGCTTTCTGGCTTTGTAAGACTTGCCTCTCCTCTCCGCTCAAAAAAGTAGAACTCTTGAAACGATTGGCATTTCAAAAGGAAACTCCTATTGAGAGAAAGTGATAGCAAGACAAAGAAAGCAGGACCTGAGGATTCCCGCACAATTCCCTGAGTTTAAAACAGCTAGAGACCCCTCCCCTCAGTCCGGTGTAGCCAATCTGCAAGTATGAACTTGTTTTGAGAACTGCAGGCTGAGAAAGTGATAAATTGTTTTCAGGCATTGCTTGCTGGGGGCTCCGTTGCTGAAACATAACAAATGTCCCTCAGTTCAATCCCTCCCCCTTTTCATTCCCAAGAAGGAAAATCAAAGCACACTGCAGGCAGGAAAGGCTTATAAAGTGAGGAATGTACCTAGGCCTCCCACCTCCCCCACTAGAATGGCAGCATCCCAATAGGCATCTATGGGACCTGAGAGTCCCTTGTATTGGGGAGGTGGACAAATGGACAATATTGTATGCACGTGATGGGGAATGGAGGGGGGGAATGACAGGCGAAGACCAGAGAAACGTAGAACCGGTTTGTACCAGAGGCACCTTTTGCTTCATTCCGATGAAGTTGAGGGTCTTTCTTTCCTAAGGGACCGGGTTGGGGCAGGTCTGACACCTGCATTCTGCCACGGCACCTTTGTTCAAATTAGGCAGAGTTGGAAGACCATTTTAAGGTCACCTTTAGAGTAATCTAGCAAAGAGGTTTCCCTTAATGAAAAAAAGGAGCTGGCAACAGGCTTGAGTTTCATTTTACACTCCACACAGTAGAAAACGTACAAAAGAGTTAATTGGATGGAAGAAATCCTGCTCAGTTACATCAGAGACATAGTCAAGCATCTCGTAATATTAAGCATAACCATTGAAAAGGGTTCAAAGGAAAACGTCGGGAAAGGGTCACATAAATCTATTGCGAAAAGGTACAATTTCAGCCAGTTGAAATGCCTAGCATGTACAATTGAAAATGCTCTTTATTTTGAAGTTAGAAAGTTGAGCGGGGGGGGGGGGGAGTCCACTCTTTACGACCTCTAGAACCCAATTCCAAGCAAAAATAACCAAATAACGAATTATACAAGGAGGTAGGGTATAAAGAGAAGGAAGAAGAAAAAAAGGAAAAACACAGTGAAGCAGAGTGGTCAAAAGGATGGAAAACCCAGATACAGAGTAGGAGATACAAGAAACATACCCAAGACCCAAAAAGGACTCAAAACCCTATATGTGAATGCTCAATAGACAGGGTGAAGTTGAAATACTAATACACAAAGATACATATGGTAGTTACTATTACTGAAACGTTGTGGGATGGAACTCATGACTGGGTTGGATGGATTTATTTGTAATTGGCTGAGACAATGGGTGGTCCTTAATGGTACTACATCTACATGGAGGGAAGGAAGCAGTGGGATACCACAAGTGGGGTTCTGTTTTAGGCCCAGTACTCTTCAATATCTACATACACGACTTAAATGAGGGAATAGAAGGGGGACACATCAAATTTGCAGATAATACTAAGAGGGGAGGAATAGCCAACACCGTATAGGTTCAAGATCCAGATTCCACAAAAATAATATCCGGCCTTATTTTGTTTTGGGTCCCAAAATAATCACCAGGGCTTATTTGGGTGGAAACACAATTTTAGGGTGATTATGGGGTTTCTCTCCAGTGTGGATTCTTCGATGTATGTAAAGGTTTCCTTTCTGAATGAAGCTCATTCCACACTCCAGACATTTGTATGGTTTTTCTCCAGTGTGGATTCTTTGATGCATGTAAAGGTTTCCTCTCCGATTGAAGCTCTTTCCACATTCCAGACATTTATGTGGTTTTTCTCCCGAGTGGATTCCTTGATGTGAATAAAGATTTCTCTTTGAAGAGAAACTCTTGTCACAATCCAGGCATTGATATGGTTTCTCTCCTGAGTGGGTTCTTTGATGTATGTAAAGATTTCCTCTCTGATCAAAGCCCTTTCCACACTGCAGACATTTATGTGGTTTTTCTCCTGAGTGGATCCTTTGATGTGAATCAAGGGTTCTCTTTGAAGAGAAAGCCTTGTCACAATCCAAGCATTGATATGGTTTGTCTCCTGAGTGGATTCTTTGATGTACATCAAGGTTTCCTCTCTGAGTGAAGCCCTTTCCACACTGCAGACATTTATAAGGTTTTTCTCCTGTGTGAATCATTTCATGTCTATGCAGGTCTCTTCTCGCACTGAAGCTCTTTCCACATTCAAGGCATTTATATGGGTTTTCTCCAGTATGGAATTTTTTATGATGATAGAGGCCTGAACTCTCAGTAAAGCTCTTTCCACACTCCAGGCATTCATATGGTTTTTCTCCCGAGTGAACTTTTTGATGTGTGTAAAGGTTTCCTCTCCAACTGAAGCTCTTTCCACACTCCAGACATTTAAATGGCTTCTCTCCCGTGTGGATTCTTTGATGTCTCTCATGGCTGCTCCTGTGACGGAAGCACTTTCCACACTCAAAGCATTTATAAGGTTTTTCTCCTGTGTGGATTCTTTGATGTTGATTAAGATCTCCTCTCTGACTGAAGTTCTTTCCACACTCAAAGCATTCATATGGGTTTCCAACTGAGTGGTTTTTAAGATGGTTTTCAAAATGTCCATTTGTTATGAAGGATTTTTCACATTCTGGACATTCGTATTTCTTCTCTCCTGAATGGATGCTTAGATGATGCCTTTGAAAATGTCCATTTGTTTTGAAGGATTTTTCACATTCTGGGCATTCATATTTCTTTCCTCTTTCCTGGATCCTTTGGGGATTCCCGGGACTTTCAAAGGACTCTCCGCCCTCCAGACCTTTATTCAGTTCCTCTCTCCAGTGGATTCTTCTATGTCTATAAAGGCTGCTGCTCTGACTGAAGCTCTTTCCACACTCCAGGCATTTAAATGGTTTCTCTCCCGTGTGGATCCTTTGATGTGCCTCAAGGGTGCTCCTCTGACTGAAGCTCTTTCCACACTCCAGGCATTGATACGGTTTTTCTCCTGTGTGGATCCTTTGATGTTGATTAAGATCTGCTCTCCGAGTGAAGTTCTTTCCACACTCAAAGCATTTATGTGGGTTTCCAAATCCGTGGATCCTTAGATGTTTTTCAAGATGGTCGTTCCTTTTGAAGGATTTTTCGCATTCCGGGCACCGATATCTCTTTCCTCCCTCCTGGATCCTCTGGGGATTCCCGGGTCTGCCCTCTAGGCCCGTCTCGGGGTCTCCGCCCGTGTCCTCCTCCCCACATCGCCCTCCGGGCAGCCGCCTTTCCCGGGGTCCCCCTGGGCTCATCCCTCCGGCAGCCCCGGAGCCTCCCGGCCTTTCCCCGCTGTCTCTCGGGGAAATCAGCGCCGGGACCGAGCAGGGCTGCTCTGCGGGGCCCGCTCTCCTCCTCCTCTCGGGCGGCGTTTCCTTCCTTCCCCCGCCGGGCTCCTCCGTCCTCCTGAGGGGGAGAAAGAGAGGCGGGTCAAGGCTGCGTCCCCTTCCCCGCAGGGGAGGCCCAGGCCTGCCCGACCGGGGAGGAAGGCCGAAGCCTCGTCCTCTCAGAGACACTTTGAAGTAGGCCCGAGACGGACTCTGCCTCCCTTCCCAGGACTTTCCTGTTCGGAGATCCGCTCAGGCCGCGACGCCTAGCAACCCCACCTACCCACCCATCCCCGCGCGCGTAAGATCTACATCCGGTCACTTCCGTCGCCTAACCACACATCTCTTTCCGTCGCTCGTCTGATGGCGCAACTGGGGGGCGTGGCCTCTTCCTCTCCTTCCCTGTCGCTCCAGTACATTTGTCTGATTACGGAAGTCGAGAAGAAAACTTTCTCTTGCAGGCTCGGGGCACATTTACATGCGGCGCCTTTTGCGCCATCCCATTGGTTGGGTCCGCTGCGTGACTCCGCCCCTCTCACCTCACTGGAACGGCACCCTCGCCCCCTCGGACTCTGGGCTCCTCCCGCTCCGCCCCTTCCTGGCTCTTTCCGGGCTGTCTGTCCGTCCGTCCTTCGTTCGTTCGTTCCTCCCCCCCACCCCAACCAGGTCCGTGGTCAAGGCGGGGCTGCTCTGACAGATGGGTGCAGGCTTCCCTCCGCCGGCCTACCTCGCAGGGTTGCGCGGTGGGGAGACAAAGCCTTGATTGACTCCCCCGCAAAGCGCCTCTATGGCAGGGAGGGGGCGGAGGGCGGTATGGGGGCGTCTGCCCCGCTCTTTCTCTGCCCCCCCCCACCCTCCTGCCCCCTCCCCGCCCTTCTTTCCCTCCACTCATGGCCCTCTGGTGCCCCCTGCCCCTCCCCTCCATTAAGTTCAAAACTCGGGGAGAGAATTTCTGTCTCCTTAAACTTGTATTCAAAGACTCAGAATGCTCTCTTGTATAGTTGCTGAAAAACTTCTCACCTACCAAATAAACTGCAGGGGTCTCCAACCTTGGCAAGTTTAAGCCTGGTGGACTTCAACT